ATGGAAACGGTTCCGCATAAATGCGCTAAAGCAAATCGGCTTAGCTGGCCAGTAGATTTCCGGCTCAAGGCGGGCGTAGGACAATTTGAAATTCTAAATTTGCAAAAGCGTCAAGTGTTGTGCGTGCGGTATGCGGCCGAATGTTGTCACGCTGCGATGATATCCAGTTCGAGTTCCAAATCCGGCATGTAGACGTCTTCGTAAACGCTTCATGGTCTTTAATATCGTGGCATATACGTGCTACTAAACGGCGAAGAATTTCCGCAAGCGCAGTGTTTACCGCCATCAGAAACTCGATTACTGCACTTCGCTCGAATCTCGTTGACATCGCATTGATATTCAACCTCACTCTAAACGTTACTGTTGGTGATTGCGTCAAACAAACTTATTGAGACTCGGTATGTTTATAAAGAAGGGCTGTAGCTATAAAATGAGCGATCACGCAGAGTCTTAACTCTTTTCGTTCTTGCGATACAGACGAGCGTGCATTACTTATCAGCCGATCATCGTATAAACTATAAGGTGTTTTGATCATGGAAGATTATAAGGTACCGTATATGTATAGTACGAGAGGATGAAAAGTATAATAACGTGATAATAAATATCTCTGAAACGTTCGCGATAATGACAAAAAAAATTAATTTATTAAAAGCAATTAAAATCGCCCTCTTATTAAGATGAATTTCTCGGAAAGCGTTTTAAGCTAAAAAATTGGCCGCCTGTAAAAAATGGCCACTGTATCTCATTATTGAATTATGAATATTTATGCATATGCAGGAGGTTGAAATTTAAATAACACAGTTATAAAAATATAAATGCAAAAATATACGAACTATCCAAAATATTAATTAATTTAATCAATTCATAATATATCGCAGTATTTTTTTTTTTTTTATCCTTTTCAGTGCTCGTAAAAAGCATAAATTTGCATAAACGCTTATAATCTACCTGTTATATGGTTTCTGGTTTGCGGTTCTTATTTGCATTTCCTAAATGAAACAATCGATGTGCATTTAATATCGTGAGGAACATGAAGACGAAGGAAAAGGGAGACGAACACTTCTAAGGGAAGCTTGGAAGTTCTCCCATAGACTTAAATTGAATTTTCATGAAAAATACGAAGTTCCGTATCGTTATTAAAAGTGAGTGGCTCGTTTAAATTTGAGATTAAAGCAAAACACACTGAAGGAAGGATGGGGGATTAATGTAAGAGACTGCCCCAAGATTTGAGAATATTTAACAAAACGTGCGCAAACTAAGTGAAAGACTGGAAAGTGAAACAGCTGAAAGAACAAGCTACTAGAGGCTGCTTTGATTTACATATTTCTTAATATCTAATATAATTCTTATCGACGATTATCTGACACTGCAAAGGAAATATATAGCATGGCTAATAACTTTCATCATTTTGAGTATCTGCATTATTTTTAGAGATATGGGAAAATTAGGCTTACAAAAGTGGCAAACGAAAGAGACCATAATATTAGTTGAAGTCAGTGAATCAGTTGAAATTATAAATTCTGGTCCGTTTAAAAAAATGAAAAACTCGAAATTATACGTTATTTTGCATCAGATACGACAAAGAAATAACTCTTTTCTAAACTAAACTTCTTCATTCCAAATTTCCTGCCATTTTATTACATCACCAAAGGTTTAAAAGATCCATGAAACTGTTTAAAATTTTCCACCAAGCATCCTGAGGTTTCGCTCTAACAATTTTACGAGGGAAAATATCGAAGATACCGCGAGGGGCGAAGGAATGAGAAACAGGAAGGGGAAAGCAAATCTCCCCCTTTTTTTTTTTTTTACCTTTAATCATCTTTTTAGCCCTGTTGGAACGGTGGCCACAATGAAAATATCCGTGTACCAGAGCGGAATGGGTGGGAGGGTGGTGGCGGGCGAAGAAACGTCGCCGACGTCGAAGTTGTAACGAGGAACAAAGGAAGGTGAAAAGAAACGAAAACGTCGCCGACAATTCGTAGATCTCGAAGCTGACTCTGGGGCTCATGAATAACGGAGAGGAACGCATTAGAATATTCTCCGCGGCATAACGAATAAGAAGACATAACTTCCATTGTTATTCTCCCTTTTAAAGAAGGGAATCCCTAAGTTGCATGAGCGCGTCGTCCTCGTCGCTTTGCCCACGCCGCAGATGCAGTTTTCCAAGAGTGCCACTTGCAACCGGTTATAGAATTAAAGATTATTTTCCATCTGCCTATTAACAGCGAGACAAAGATAAAGCGACATCGGGTCGATGTTCTTGAACTGCAAAATTAATTGCAATCCGCGACCGCTGCGCCACAATCGTTCTATTGTTGAATACTGCAGCTATTATCCCATCTTCTTTCTGTTTAGAAAATGTACCGTTACGTTTTATATGATGAAAGAAGAAACTTCTTATATTTTCGTACTCTTCCTTTTAATATTAGTGGAAAATTAGTTTTTTATATACAAGAAAGTATACAAGAGAATTAGTTTGGTACTGATAAGTTATTTGTTCTTTTTTTCTTTGAGAGGAAAAAGGATTTCTTAGTTTCATATTTCTTTTAGTTCCTTTAGTGTCGTTTTATTAAGACACACTTAATGTGGATTTTTTAAGGACAGGCTTAATAATACCGTTATGGAAACGACAGGTCAAACTTTTTTAATCAAGGAAGATGGCAGGAATGAAGACAGACACAATTCATTTAACTTTATAAACGTTCCCAATAATGGCGATAATTTCCCTGATAACAAGAGAAATTACGCTTCTTTTAGTTAATTTATATTATGGGATTCTGCAGTTTAGAGAGACAGACATACCAATAAGGTATTGAACAACTAATATTATCTGCATTGAACATCTGCTCTGTTTTCAAGAGTTTACTAGTACTTAAATGCATTACAATTCATTAATAGATCTCCTAGAAAATGTTTTATAATATTTTAAGCCTCTAAAAGTACCATCGCACTTATTAGCAATATGATAATCTCAAGCTCATTCATTCAAGACATTAAAGAAACATCTTACAGTGATCATGAAGGGAGAAGTGTAACAATACGCTGTAATAGCACTGTAATATGACACTGCAATATAATAATACAAATATAATACCACTATATATTGGTATTCAAGGAAACGAACAAGCAGATAAGGCAGCAAAACTAACAGCTAACACAAGAGAACATAAAAAATTATCAACTACGTCACATACAATGATACAAGAAATTATTTAAATACTTTCATAAAATAGCATTCCATAGGAACATTAGCTATAAGATGCATGGAAATATATGGAGCAAGCTGATGGAGATACGGGATGGCAAATATTTCCAAAGATGATTAATCCAACAATTCAATTGTCAATTAGCAGAATTAGGATCAGCCACCCAGCACTGACTCGTTCGTGTCTACTCAACAAGCATAAACCTCAATGCAAATCTGCAAACAATGCAAACTGATATTGTCTATTAAACATATCATAGTAGAGTGCAGAAACTATGATCATAAGAAAAAAGCCACTAAACTGTCTAATGATACAACGAAATTGTTGAACTTCAGCTGAAAAATGGTGAGATCTACAAAATTCTATCTGAAATTATAGACTGTTAACTGTGCTGTGTTGCTAATTATCTCTGCTATAAGCAACGTTAAACATATATATATACATATAAGATTTTGGGATTTCCTTCCATAATCACAATATGAGAAAACGGAATTTAATAAAATTAGTGTGCTAAAATAAAATCGTCCTTAACACGAGTCAAGATACACCTAAATTTCGATCACATCGGCTTTTTCGTCCCTTTAATTTCGACGAGGAGAGGTATCAAAGAAAAATGAAAAACTGCCCGGTTGTTGCTTTCAATTGGCAGAGCGACTTCCCTCCGGCTTCTAAGAAGAAACTTTTTCCATTACGGATCTATAATCCCGAGCTTTATTGGCCCCGGAAACGGCGAAACGTAACTTTAAGGTACTTTAATAGTAACGGTTCCACGCGGAAAGAGGAAACAGAAAATGTGTTACTCCTTGGATCTTGATTCCGTCACGCGCTCCAACTTTCTCTCCTCGAAATATTTGAAGGTCCGATTAATTATTTTCCCCATCGGCTCTCTGCTTACGATCAGGCAGCTTTCTGACCCCGATAGGAAAATAAATTCGTGTCTAGCCCGTACTTACCTTTCAATTTAATCTCGTTTATTATCATTAATATTATCGAACTATGTAGTCTTTCCCATTTTACCTGGATAAAAGGAGCACAAGGCTCCTCCATTAAAAACTGCTTCAATAACCAATTAAATAAGAAGCTTCAAAAAATCAATATGCATTACTCTGATTATAGGCCATCAGCGGCGGACTTGATGAAATATACATATATAAAACCTGTCATATCGTAGCTCATCAATCGGTTGTATAAATAAACAAAAATGTATGGTTTCCTGAATTGTAGTGTAAATTTTATATCCCCGTCTTCGTCTGTTTTTAATTTATCAACAATTTTTCATGCATTTGCACGAAGCTGGTTATATTTTAGTTTACTAAATGGTAATATAAGTGGCAAAATTTTAAATCAATTAAAATTTGAAATACCTAAACACTCTCTCAATTCGATAATAATTCTTGAATCCTCGTTAACCACATACAATAATAAAAGCAGTCGGATATTTCACGTTTCGTTCTATTGAAACTCACTGAAACATTGACATGAATAACAAAGAGATGCACCATGCTGAAATTACATATGAATTTCAAATTTCAAATTGAATTTAGATGCATGATATTTTTTTATCGAGTAGCAATTTTTCAAGCGTAATCAGACCGATAGATACGATTATCCGGGAATAAAATATTCAGGCGCTGGAGATTTGCTAAACGTACGTATGTACGTGCGTACATACATGTATGTATTATGTATGTACAGTCTTTTTATACATCGAGCGATCGCGTAAAATTATCGGACAAACGCATATCACCGGTTTAAAATCGTTTCATTCTATTTTTCCTCTCTGGACAATTTCAGATATAGCGAGCCGATTAAAAAATCACTTGATGCGCTGAGGATGCGCCGTGATTTCTGCAACGGTGGGCTTGCCTGCGCCGTTGTGTGGGTGTCATCGACCTGCTGGCTGCTACTATCTTTGTCATCGTCGGTCACAGCAGGTACGTCTACCTTTTTTCTACGTCGTTTATTTTATTTTTGTCCCCCTCCCCCAACCCCTTTTCTCCTTTTTTTTCTTCTATTTTATTTCCAGCGATTTCCCCGCCCTAGCCCCGCGGTTCGTTCGCCTGTAATGATTGGTCCCGAATTATTGAAAGAGCGGCCATTAGCAAACAATAGAGGCCTGTGTAGCTGTGTTCACGTTCGACCAACGAGGCGGTGACGACGTGCACGGGGTGACGCTGTGAAAGAGATAGAAAAAGAATTAAAAAAAGGAAGGCAAACTCTTGAAACGGGCGTGCATCTACATATAATGCTACGCCACAGACGTGATCGGATTTCGAGAGACGTCCTCTCACCGACAGATTCGTCCTTGGTATTGCGAAAAACCACCGGAAAAAGCCAAGCCCATCCTTAGGAGAGGCTTAATCCTCTTTATCCTCCTTCAAACACCTCGTCAACTGGAGATATTTCCGTGTTTTTGTACACAGGCTCGCGAAACTATTCGAACCCTTGTACACAAACATGATACAATTGTCACGATTAAATTGAAGTATAGAAGTTGTCGGATATTTCTTGCAAGCACATCGTAAAAATCGTGAAATTATTTTAAACAGTCAATTATCCACTATTTCAACAGACCTCGATATTCAATGGGGCTAGCTTTAGCGTTAATTACATGTTTGATGCTTTGTGACTTATGACTTGTATATACATTTCCAGATTGATCTCTTTTACCAATATAATCGCGACAATCGCGTCTCGTCACAGCGCTAATGAAATTTCAAAATATTTTGCATAACGCAAATACTATCGTACTACAGTACTATCGTAAGCCAGTGTATTTTATTTGTTCATGATAGAGGGCGCAAACAACAATATTGTAAAATTGATAAAGGTAGAAATACTCGTAATGTATGACGATTCATGGACGTATTCATTTCAAAATTGTCGAGGATATTTTAGTATTCACGTTACCAACGCTCTCTCTAAAGTAACGTTGCATCTAAAATCCTGCTTCATATTTCATCGAACAACGTCCTGACTCGGATAAAAGATTCAACCGTCGCGCGCGTCGTGTCGTAAGATACTTCTTGTATTTTTTAAAGACGAACGGAATGTTTATCCAACAAAATATTAATCAATGATACACGATCCAAATAGTATATTCGATAACATAAATTGTAACTAAAAAACGTTGGGTTAGCTGATTCTTAATACTTTAAGAGTGCGTTAAATCACTTTAAAACTGACTTGTCGGATACTACTAGCTATAAAAATCAACGACTTTAAGGTACCTATATTAATACTATATAGATCTCGATGAAACACGAGAGAGATCCCCTAATCGATGAGTTAATTATTTGTCGACGATTATACATCGGTAAGCCACGGTACGTCCTCCAGGCAAATGAACGATGTCACTTAACGAGACGTTAATTAGCAGGTGAAATTGCTAGTGGACAGTGGACGTTGAACGGTGGTGAAGACTTCGATCGATTCGCAATGTGTTACAACAGGATATCGGTTTCTCGTCTCGATAAATATCAGGCCGGTGAAACGATTTGCATACTACAACAAATAACAAATTGAATCTCTCGCACCGTTAAAGTGCATTCTACTCTGCATTCCTCTACCTCGTCGCTTGTGTCCGCCTTTGCGTCTTTCCTTTCTTATGAACACGCTTCCTCTTCGCTGATCAGAATGCGTTTCTTCATTTCCTCTGCCTCTTTGACATTCTTGCCGATCCCTTCCTTGTTTCTTCATCGTTTACGCGTCCACAGAGATTCCTGAGATATTTTTGTTCCCCATTGAATTCTATAATATATATATAGCCGTAATAGCATGTAAAAACGAGCACGACGTGAATCCTTGTAAGAAAATAAGGAAAAAATATGGAACATTTTTACATTCTCGGCTTAGTTTTCGAAAAAAATCGAATTTGAGAATTTATCAAGTATAATTAAACACGGCTAAATCCGGATTGAACAATAGTAGATAATCGATAAGAGGTCATTCTATTTGTGAAAATAAGTCGAAAATATGAAATAACAATTTTTTCTTCGAAGGCTTCATTTTCAAGAAAATAAAGTTTCAACATATTTCATTAAGAATCGGCCCAGCACACGCGTATAATTAATTTTCAAATTTCTTTCTTTCGGACACACGTAGTGTTACGACCGTTCGCGGAGAAACGCGGTCGCTAGAAAAACGCGTCAGCGAGAGACGTAAATTCTCGCTACGATTATGTTAATCGACGCCGCGAAATAGTCGTTCCCCTGTTTCGGTTAAGATAACAGAGGTGGTTGAATATATGTAACACTGTATTAAAAGGTTAACATAAAATAATATATTTTATAATAATATGATGAATATGTTACAGAAAGTTGACTCGACTTTACGATATCTCTAGATAAATTCGTTTGTTCGTCAGATTTGTCGATGTGTCACGTTTGACTTGTCAGAAGGAACTGATCCCTTTCGATTATTCCTTTGTCTCGTTTGGAAGACGACCCCCACTATGCTCGGGTCACGCCACCGCTCGCGCCTATGATCACGCATGCCTCTTCTTGTGTGAAAAACCTATGCTCTCGTCGATACATTGTATATGATCGGGCGGGCAGATAAGACGACCTGCCTGCGACACTGTAGGACCGTGAACGACGGTTAGAAGATACAGCCTGTGGTAAGCCTCGTGGCGTAACACGTAGGATGACCTCCTGTCGATATTTACTTCTATCCAGTCCGGAATTAATCATGCTCAAGTGTATTCGATAAATTTATAAACCCGATTTTCTCGGAAATTAAGCCGAGAGCGACCTAATTTTATTTTGTGCTTTTTTATTATTTTTCCATAATGAATCACGTCGTATCAGCATTTATATGTTATTCGGCTGAGTCGTATGTATAGTATAATACAAAGGTTGGATGAGTGAATTCATTGAGAATGAAATGAAGTAGGGTTTATTTGTGAATTTTGCATGAATGGATAATTAATTCTTGTGATAAAGAGAATTTCATTCGGGAAAATAGAACTATGTGGGTAGAAGATGGTAATTTAAAAATTTGATGATGTGCGATGTGCTACTCTGTGGTGAAAGAAGTCAATGACACATGCACTACCGTTCATGGTTATACGAACGACTTCAGAAGTCGATGTACACTGCTTGTGCATTAAATAATTTACGTATATTTTAAATTTAATCTAATCTAATTTCGAAATCTAATTTCTTAATTTAAGATATGTGCTTTTAAAGTTTGAGCTGGAAAATATGGTCCCTTAAATATCTTGAAGACTATGAAAGGGAGATGAATTTTGTAAGTAGAACAATTTTGTGTTTTTGTACGGCAAAATACGTCTGTCTAAACAAATTAGAAAGAAAAATGGATTTATTAATAAATAAGTATAAATCAATAAATTAAATCGATGTAGTATAAAATAGAGAAATACCGAATTGAAAATTGATCTGTTACAGTTTTCTAAAGTGATCTAAATTGTACAACGCGGAATTCAATCGTCAGAATGTTGTAATAGGGAAACTAGTTCGTTGCGATGAGGATTAACGAAATGATTATAATAGAGCGTAAAGAAAGAGGACGATGGTCAACGAACCGGAAATTCGGGTAATCGGATGTGCCGTAGATTTCACTAGACTTTTATGAAATCTTTAACGGCGTGAAAATGTGGTATGTGGTATATAGAGAGTCAAAGTAAAAAGTCGATTGGTATGCAGCGCATGTATTTTTCTATCCCATATGCTCGACGAGTGTAATCGTGCGTATACTTTCCCTGTATGGCTTCTATAAATCGTTTTACTTAACCAGATTTCTCATCTTTGAACTAAACAATGAAATAGATACTGAGTCATAAAAGTGACTCACGAACGATCGATGATTTCATACTTCGAGGTTTTTTAGAATAGATATTATAATGAAGTTTAATAAAATCACGATCTAGTGCAATTAAAATTAATATTTTAACAAATTACCAGACACCGAATGAGTCTGGTATTGATATTGATACGAGCATGATATCTCTCTAAATCATAATTATTTTATAGTTACAATTGATCGGATTTTCTACCAACTCTAGACTTATCGATAAAAAAAAGTTCTCTACATATATCTCGTATTACAAAATGCTTTAAAACTCTTTGAAACTCACTTCCAACTGTTGCTGGTTGTTCCAACGTAAACCAGCCTCAACAGCCCCAGGGTAACATTTTCGGAAGCAAACTTTTCAAACTATCTGATCTTTTTCCCACTCTTCGAAAGATTTAACAACCATCGACTTAGCCAATACGGCTCCCAAGACGTTCCCAGCTATCTGCAAAAAGGATCCGTGGAAGCACGTTCGACGTGTATACGCAAGTTCTTGGTCGAGTTAACGAGAAAAAGGGTCGCGTGACCGGAGGCACTTGCTGTTAATCGAGCAGTCGTCTCCGTTGCATTCGAATCCCGTGGCCATTCTACACTCTGTTCCTTTTTGTCTGTCCAGTGGTTCGGCCTACGGCTTGCTATGAAGTTTGTAGTCGCCGAATTGGAACCACTCGAAACTTTCAATGTTTTTCACTCATTTGGTATAATTGAGAGTCGTGTGCGAACTTTAATAGCAAAGTTTAATTGTTAACTACTACGGTATTATACGCGTACGCTCGTGAAAATATTTGAACATATACTGTAGAAAACTTTCATACACATGCTATATATTGAATTTTATTAAGTTTAATTTGATTACAGATAATCCCACTGAACATCGAAACTTATTAATATATACGGATATAATGGATAATTGACTGTCTAAAATATATTATTGCAATGTTTTTTAATACGTAATTTAAAGTGATATCTTGATGGATAAAGAGATAGCAAGTGTTGTTTCTAATTACTATATGAGTCATCGTTAATTTGCACACTTTCGTAAAATTCACGTACTGTTGTTACAATACCAAATCAGCTAAGTGTCATATTCTTATACGTACGTATATACTTATGACCACATATACTCATATACTTATGATATTAGTGAGTGTATCTGTACGTAGCCCTAATTCGATAGTCAGGTACGTGCCTGTGAGCGAAGCACAGACCTGGAAGCTACTGGAAGTCGATGGAAACGTGTTCGTAGCACGTTAGGCGAGTAGTAAGTGTGGCAGTAGGATGTGAGGAACCGTTAGCTCGACTCCGGCTATTTTTATTATTATTATCGTCGCGCTGCACTTCAACGCTGGTGCTTGAGAACGAAAGCGGCGCTGTTCCGCGAGATCCATACGCGAGCTGTCCGTGAGATCGCCTCGATGTTCTGACCTATAAAACTGGCTCCGTTCTTCGCGTGGTACAACGATGATGATAATGATGATGATTCCGTTGCTAAGATCCGCCGAATGTTCGTTCCGTTACGCTCGAATAAATTTGTGTCGAGGTGTGCCGTTTTTTACGCCGTTTCGAAGACATTCCGGGCCGAGGAAATATTTTTCTTTCCTTCATAATCTCTTCCGCGTATTAATCGAAAGAGGCGGCAGAGTTTGAAGGAGAAGGAGAATATTGAGTCCGCCGAAATTTACTCCTCCCAAGAGTCAATTTTTAATGTAAATTTTGACATAGAAAGATTCTTAGATCACTGCTTAAAATGAACTTAAGGAGGCTCTAATAGAATGTAGAAATATGTAATTTCCAAATACCTGAATTATCTACGAATGGACTAACTTTTTCAGGACCCAATTTCTTCAGTCTGTGAGAAAAAATATATACAAAAAATAAAGATATGATGATCAAATCTCTAGCACTTCTACTATCACAGTTAATATAATAATTGAGGCGAAATGATTATACTTTAATCATAAACTACATATACTTTGACATTTATATTAGGAAATATGTCATATTTGACACAAAGTACACATATTGCTTGTATTACAGAGCCATCGTTGAAAGCAATAGGTCGATGCCCAGCCTTCGAGGAGCAGAACGTGTGTCCCGCAAGGGCGCCAAATTGCGAGAATGACTTCCAATGTCAGGCGTCGGGGGAACGTTGCTGCAAGACAGCTTGCGGCACGAAATGCGTCATCGGCGAGCTGACAGGATGTGAACAGCTGGCGCAGGCAGCCGTGAGAAGATCGCGCGCCCTTGGTCCACGTGGACCGTCGCAATTTATACCAAAGTGCAATAACGAGACCGGCGAGTTCGAGAGGATACAATGTGATCCGCGAGAGAAAAACTGCTGGTGCGTGGACGAAATCGGTGCCGAAGTTCCAGGTACTAGGGGATCCTCCAAGGATGTGATCGATTGCGACAATCCCCGCGAATGTCCCGCACATAGCTGTCGAATGCTTTGTCCACTAGGCTTTGAGGTAAACTTTCAAATATATCTTGAATTTTTTGATCTTCAAATAAAACAAAAGATCTAAAAATCTAGAAATATAATGCTCCCATGTATCTGATCTTCTTTTAATTGGCTACATTTTCGGTTAAGATGTGTGTGGTATAACGGAATTCTTTAATTATAGTTCTTTAACAAAAATAAGCACGTATTCTTATTCTAAAAAACTGGCGTAATTGAACTTCGAGAAATTAAATTTAAGAAATAATTGCTAATTACCAACGATATATAAGTAAAGAACATGAAGCATGTATAATTATCTCTAATAACTGCATTACGGATGTTCATATATTTATGAGTTCAAAGGTGCAGAAATATACAGATGAATACATATAATATACACAAATAACAATTCACTGTAAAAAAGAACAAATTCCTCTTTAGGTTCCATTTGTTCCACTTATAAAGTTGCATAAATATCCTTAATTGCATACACATCCTTCACCTACTTTATAACCAACGATATAGAACCAAGAGAAGAAAATACCAAAATAATCCCTTCCTACACAAGTATCCATAAGACCTCTTACGAGAAGCAAAATCTCGACTTTATTCAATACTCCGTAGCAGCTGCTGACTAGTTATTTCCACTCGCAGATCGAGCCGAAAACTGGCTGCGCTAAATGCGAGTGTCGGGATCCTTGCCGCGGGGTCGCCTGTCCGGGGACCAGTCAAACGTGCGAGTTGATTGATGTAACATGCGCCCGTCCACCGTGTCCGCCAATTCCCAGCTGCCGCAAAGCGAAGTCACTGTCGACGATTTGCCCAGCCGGTGAACCGCTGCAAATCACGGACTCGCCGAGACCATTCCTCTGCGGCGACTCGCCAGGGAAACCAACCTGCCCGCCGATGTATAGCTGCCTGGTGGAACCGAAACAGGAATACGGAGTCTGTTGTCCATCCAACATTAATCTAAAGAGACCAGGAACGTGTCCATTGGAGGAGCCAGCTATTTGTGGCAATTCCTGTCAGCATGACTTAGAGTGTCCAGGTCCTCAGAAATGTTGCAAGAGCGAGAAGTGTGGAGGAGGAGTTTGCTCTGTTCCACAGGGACTCAGTGCTTGCCACAGAGACCGTGTGCTGGCGGAGATGCTGAGTATTTCTGAGAGGCAGGGCCGTGGATATGTTCCTCAGTGCACGGAAGGTGAGGATCTAAGGATGAATAGGAATCTTTGATTAAGTCGAATAGTTAGGTTTGGCTTAGTTATTAAAGAGAGACTGTTTGATGAAAGATAACACTCTACGATAGAATCATATTTGTTTGGATCTGCTGGCGGATAAGTAAACAGTTTATGCACGTAGACAAACAGTTTGTATGTATAATAATAATATACTGATTGCACCAGTGTCAACTATTGCTGGTTCAGATAATAAGTTTACATTCCTAGTTAGATAAATATGTAGCGGCACACGAGTCAGAGGACGATGCGAATCGAAAACAACTCATGTTGTTGCTTTGCCTTGAGACATTGACACCGTCTTGACGTACCAAACGTAGCGATAAACAAACTCCAGGCAAAATAATTGCCGCTACGTGCAACCGTCAACCGAAGTTGAATTTAAACTTTCATCGTTAAGAGAATCAGTCTTTCTTTAGATCAGTTATTAGTTAGTGAGTATCGAGCAATCTTAAAGCGAATATCATCGAGCGAACGTACTCATTACCGTGTATACGCATAACGAGCGATACTTAGCGAACGACGATCAACTCTGTACTACAAATAGTTTTAAATATATTTGACTACAGCAAATATCCACTGGTCTCATCAATAGATATACCAACACGTCTAATCATCCTCCACAAATATGTTTGTAATTGAAATGGGATTCTATTGTATTATACGTTTGAGAATTTTTGGGAAACCAATTGTATCATAACATTTTTAATTTGTCGATATGCTTTGGGAGTTAAAAATATATTAAATGTAAGAATTTGGGTATCCCTTTTGAATTATTTTAACAGCATCGATTTAACAGCATCGTAAATAACTATGTTTTTATAATCTTTTGATAAAATAAACATTATTAATATTTTCAAACTTGTAGATGGAGGATACGAAGGTAGACAATGCTCGAGGAACGGTCTGGTTTGCTGGTGCGTGGATAATAACGGTCGAAAAATATCCGGAACCATGGGACCGGCAGATAAAGTCGATTGCAAATCAATAACGAAGGGAAGATCGCTTCCGGCGTCTTGTGTTTCCCAACAGTGCGCTCAAGTTTGTCAATATGGATTTAAAACCGATGCTTCCGGTTGTCCAACTTGCGAATGCGACAATCCTTGTGAAGGGTAAGTGTACAATTACATTCACTTAGATATAGTACATTTCATAACAACATCTTATGCTTCTAACTGTTTTCTTCCTCAGTTTTCCGTGTCCGGTTGGAGAACAATGCGTTCTGCATCGTGAAGACGGTTGCCCAGACTTTCTCTGTCCAACCAGACCAGAGTGTAAACCGAAGAAATCTTATCAGAGTCCTTGTGTCTATGGAACTCCCCTTATCGATAACGAACGGAACGCCGTAACCTGTTCTGAGAACGAAACTTGTCCACAAGGCTACAAATGCACCGTTGTACCGGAAGCTGGACAATCGGTGTGCTGCATGACGTCAGCCAATTCCACAAAACCACAAACCAGTAAGATGTCCACTAAAACTTAAAAGAAATCTAAATCATTGGCATACTGATATTTTTACGTTGAACGTTCCTACGTATACTATTTTTTAATAACTAAAATTAATACCTCTTGGCTTTAATTCTACTTGCGTAAAATAATGTTATTAAATCATTCCAGTGTGTGAATACTTGAGGGAATTCAACGACCGCATGGAAGGAACCAGGGAAGATATGTCTTTAGCGATTCCACCACCACAATGTGAGAAAGATGGTAGCTACAAACCGTTACAATGTCACAATGGTACCTGTTCCTGCGTAAACGACCGTGGAGTTGTTCTAAAAAGCGGCGTGAATCGTAGCACTGATTGTAAAGAGATAAACGACCTTCTCAAACTCTGTGGATCTTTCTCCTGCAATTTAAGGTGCCCTTACGGCTACGAAGTAGATGCGACTGGTTGTCAGCAATGTCGTTGTCACGATCCTTGTAAAGATGTCTCATGTGGGCCACATGAGACCTGTACGATGGTCGACGTGAATTGTGGATCAGGACAGCACTGTCCAGCTGTTCCAGCTTGTCTGGCCATGAAACCAGGGCAGTGCCCGTATCTGGTACCAAGTTCATCGAGTTGCGAACTACAATGTAGTAATGATCAAGAATGTTCTGCCACGCAGAAGTGCTGTTCTACAGGTTGTGGGACGCAGTGTGTAGCTCCTGTGATGGCCACGGCTTGCCAACACGCACGTGCAGTGGCAGAACATGCGGCCAGAGAGTCAGGGGAACCAGCCAGAAGGATTTATATCCCGAGATGCGATGCTAGTGGAGCATTCGAGCCGGTTCAGTGTCACAATAGAATGTGCTGGTGCGTGGACAAGGAGGGCAGAGAGGCTGCAGGCACTCGTGTTCTCGAGGGAGTGGTACCAAAGTGTAACACGCCGCTCAGATGTCCAGAGATCGATTGCAAGCTTGATTGTGCCGATGGATTCGAACTAGATCCTGATAGTGGTTGTCCAATGTGTTCCTGTCGAGATCCCTGCAAGAGCGTGACTTGTCGGGGAGAAAACGAGGCTTGTAGAATGGTCGAAGTAGCCTGTAGCGTACCACCGTGTCCGCCTGTACCAGTCTGTTTGCCTAAGAAAGATAATCCTTGTCCAAATGGGTCTCCTTTACTAGATCAAAATGGTTCCCCAGCAATTTGCGGACCACATGGTCAACATTGTCCATCCACACACAAATGTGAACTGTCTCCTCTGGATGAATACGCTGTATGCTGTCCCAAACCTCGCGAAGTTTGTTTTGAACCACCACGAAAAGTACCCTGTAATTTAGGAATGGGTCTAAATGAAACTGAGAGATGGTACTTTGACCCAGAACATAACGAATGTAGGAGGAAATTCGAGTGTACTCTGGGTCACAATGATTTCTCTAGTCGCTTAGTATGCGATACCGTGTGCCCTGTATTATCACAATGTGAAAGACTTAGAGAGAAGAACTTGAAAACGTCTCAAAGGCTGAAGCAACCAACTTTCTTGCCCAGATGTGACCCGGAAAATGGCATGTGGGAGTCTATACAGTGTTTGGAGCATGTTGGTGTTTGCTGGTGTGTCAACAGAAAGGGTCAACCTGTGAAAGGTTCGCTTACCAGAGGAGCAGAGCCCAAGTGTAACTTTAGGCAAGCAAGACGGGGAGGCAGAGGGCCGGCAGTTCAAGAAATCGACCGTGAAATTCAAGCGTTCATGGAGAACGCTCTAATTAACTTAGAAACTGACGAGAAGCAAATCGGGATGGTGTTAGGCACAAGATGTCAGGCGATGAAGGATAAAGGCCACGTCCCGGCAATTTGCGATCGTCAGGGCAGGTTCGAGCCGACGCAGTGTGCTGGGGACACATGCTGGTGTGTCGACGAGGCAGGCAATCAACTCATTGGCTCAGAACCGTTCCTGAAAGGAACGAATATTTGCTGTAAGATACGATATCTTTCATATATTTGTATTGAGTCATTTTGTCAGTTTCAGGTAGAGTCAGTTTATGATAGTCGATCAATGAGAACTAAAACTTGGTTTAACATGTATAATACAAATATTATTTATCTAATATGTAGAGTATGGATGTTTATGCAAATTTATATTTTTTAACGGATGCAGTTAAAAAAAGATTTTAATATGTCATAAATGCATACAAAATAACAGTGTAATAATATATATATATAATTCGATAATATAAATAATATATATTGAAATAAATATCTGATAAATTTTTGTAAATTTCTTTAGTGCCAACTCCGGTAGAAGCTGTCGAAGTAACTCTACGTTTCCCCGGTCGATTCCTCGGCGCTGACGAGGCTATACTGACCAGACAAGCAGAGGATCTACTACATGATCTAGGCGCCAGAATAAAGAACGACGTGCGAGTAGAAATCAATCAAGACTCAGCCATACTTAGTTTCGAAGTAATAGGACCGAACAAAGTAGACATAGCATTCCATCTGGAAGAATTAACCAGAATACAGAAATTATCCATGTTGGGATCATTCGCGGACGCAACCACTTCTCGTTTCACACACAGATCTCCTCCAATAGCTATGCAGAGTAGAATTGTAGCATTAGAACAACGAGAAATCCTCACAGAAGTGGAAACGCCCGTTTATCAAACTGCTACCTTGGTTTTGGCTGCTGGAAGCGCTTTCATAATTAGCAGTTTGCTGATTTTATTGATGTTATACCGTAAAAAGGTACACTCTCAATTTTATTTAAATAAGTAGTTGTAATTTTCTATTATTATTTATCATTTTTTTAAAAAGCAGATATCTAATAATTCCATAATGATGAATTTTTTCTTAAAGAATAACAGATTTAAATAATAGTTAGGAATAAAAAATTATTATGTAATTAATTACTAATTCAGTATATTTAATAGCGATAAAAAAATATTTATTTTAGATGAAAATGAAAGATCCATCAAAAAATTTGGCGGCGGATCAGCACTTCCTCGCGTACCAGCAACCAGTGTATGTGATATCGGGCGTAGAACAGGAAGAGAAGAAGAAGGATATAGCCGAAGCGCAAGAGAGTACGTCTACCTCGGATGTGGTCGTCGGTACATAGAAAAGATCAAGAGTTCGTCGCGTAGATCGCTCTTATTCCGTGCGCGAATATAGTCATGATCCAAGTCACGTCTACGTAATCCCCTTCATATTTCGATGAGATATTTATTCTTTGAATATGAGATACATCGCGACTGCCAGAATTGACGGTCGACCGAATAAATTGCAAACGGTACTTCCTTCTTTGTGGACATCATGCGATATCGATCCCACAACATAGGATGTAACGTGTAGCCACAATACGGATTTTATTTTAAAAAATTAAAAAAATGGAATTCGGTCGGTCGTCGAAAAATAATAGTTTTTATTTAGAACAATCTGATCTTCTCGCGGGTCTCTCTGTTTCACCTCGAACTTATCGAAGCCACCAACGCAAAAATGTCCTGGCTCGAGAACGAAACGCCGAGGATATCGTTGCGTTAAATGTATGTATATCATGGGTGTAAATATTAGACTCATACTGTGTTCGTTTATTTATATAGCTCAATAAAGATCGGAAATTCCTTTATTCGTGTGTCGTTATTAATACGTCTAGATCATTACTTTGGACGCTAGAGGCCAACCGTTTACCCAATCAGAGAACTGTTTCCCTAAATCTGCATTCCTAACTTGACCTGTATAGGAAGATCTTTTAAGGTCACAATAAAAATTTATAGTAATAAAACGGAAGCAATTATTTCTTTTAATTTAAAACATATGTGAATCAAAAAGATTTAGTTCCTAAATAGTTTTGAATCTTCCAGTAAATACTGGATACCAGTACCGTAAGTAGAAGCGCGCTTTTTTTAGCCAGACCTCCGCCAATCAGATGACAGCATCATTCTAGTGTTTCTACTTGTTCCGCAAGCTCTCCATGCAGTTCAATCTCAGCATGCCAACGAATAATATACTTTACAAACTAAAAACCACATAGATTCGTTTAATTTCATTCTCTTCAGTATTCTTTATACAATATTGGTACGAAAAGATGTCGATGAATCGAGTGTATATATTCTCGAATTTAATGCATAGATGGCCGAGATCGTGGGTGAAAACGCAGCCTGAGCTTTCGACGGAAACGCACGAAATATTCCGAAAGGCATTCGAGGCCGAGATCGAGTCGCCCTTTAGACGAAGCGCGGAGTGACCAATCGAGCGGTTCGGGTCGGTGGGGCTGTCCGGGGACGGGAAACGAGTGCTTTTATCCACGATACGCCGTTTTTTTTCTTTCAACAAAATCGTGGAACGAAACTTCGATTAGTGTTTTGAAAATCGTGTTCGAGAACTTCGTTCAGTGGTTAACGAAAGGTGGAAATATATAAACACGAAAAAGGGCAGGGAATCGAAGAAGAGAAAAAGGAGCTTAATGGCTCTCAGGAGATCGGGAATACAAGGACAGACATTGCACTCGCGGACGGGGCGCCTCGCAATAAACATCGTCGCCTCTCGTTCGCTCGTCCTGCATCCACCTCCTTTGCGTCTCTCCGTTTTCAACGAGCTCCTGCCGTCGTCGATTCTGCTTCCGTTTCCGTGTCTGTTATGTGTGAACGCAAAGAGAGCCGAGTGTTTATAACTGCACGGTGCTGGTGGCGGTGACGAAGGGAAAGGGAAAGGGAGGAGGAGAAAGAGAGAAGGGGAAGAAATTTGGAAGCGAGATAAAGAGAAGGATAGCTAGAAGAGAGTGCGCGTGCAAAAGCGAGAGGGAAAAGGAGAGAGAGCCAAAGGCTCGTCGGACGGAATATTCGAAGCGGTGCGCCATACATTTCCTACGGAAGGTCGTATTTATCGCGGGAACCTTATTGGTGAAATTATCTCAGTTATTGAAGAAGATTTTGATATATATAAATATATATCAAACCTTCCTTACAGCGATCGCTTCCAATTGAAAGGAATTACTATATACAGTCGGTTACAACAACGGTGGTCCGGCTACTTAACTATCTATCTACTTAACGTCGGGTAGTTGACTAGGAATTCTGGATAACCTGATCGCGCAGAAATTCGAAGTGTCAACTCGTCGACAGGCGTGACAGCCTCGTCGACTGTCTCGTCCGTCCTCTGTCCTCCCTTTTCTTGATATTCGGTGTCGGTACCATCATTTGATTCCGCGATGTTCACGGGGACAGTGAAGATCGAAATATGTGAGGCAGTCGGACTAAGGGCGACGGACAAGCAACGAAAGTTTTGGCAGGATGAACCTATACTCGATCCCTACGTTCAGCTGGATGTCGACGAGAATCATCTTGATCGTTCATCGACTAAACCGAAAACATTCGACCCGGTTTGGAACGAGTGTTTCACCCATGAAGTTCAGGATGCGGTGATGCTCGGACTGACTGTCTTCCACGATGCGGCATTACCGCCGGATTATTTCGTCGCCAATTGTAGTATTCCTTTCGAGGAACTTGTCAGCAGGAATGACAAAACTGCAGATCTTTGGGTTAGTACTTACAATTTTGGAGGCTATTCTATTTCATCATGTGGATATATTCGTTAGAAATTTTTTGTTAGAAAATAAAAAGTGTTCCTTATTTACTTTTATTTTCATCTTTTTACACTTATGAATGCATGTTTCTATATTTTACTCCCTAATTTGTAGGTAGTTTTGATTAATCGGTTCACATTAATTTTGTGTTGACACTACAATGTTTGTTGTTGATATGTGTAGTGGAAAGGCAACGTGTAATCTATGTATATCTTTTTACTATGACATTATAGAACAATTCAAGGTAGTCTGATAACACTGTGTCAATAGAAACCAAAGCAAAGAAAGATAGACGATAGATATTTCTTAGACCTGAAACATGTGTGATGACTGGAATTCAATTTGGTTTCTTTAAAATGTTGAAAAAGTGTATATCAAGTGTAATGTATCTGAGTAATATTTCAATCATACAGTTACTGATAAAATATGATCTATTAAAGTTCAATTAAAAGAATATTGTAATATTTGTATTACATTAATAAGTCATTTGTAATATTAAACAATGATGATATTATTGAATAAAATTTGATTTGAATTAAGATATTTATGTTTGTTATATGTTTTAATTGTGTAGTAACTCTTTTGTGCTTCGATGCTTTTAAATAACAGTGACAATCGTTGTGAATTATCATTAGAAATTGAATTTATTTTAGGTTGACCTTGAACCTCAAGGAAAGTTAAGGGTTAGGATCGACCTAAAATGGAATGATCAAGGTAAGAAACAGGTAATGGCTAAGAATTATGCATATAAGGTATACTTCCATAATAAAATTTTAGATCAACAAAGAGGCTGTGGTACAGGTGATGGAGAAGGAATCGGAGGCAGAGGTGGTGGAAGCATCACCACTGGGAAGGAACCCAGGAGGGAGTTCAAAGAAAGACAGGGTTTTAACCGACGTAGGGGTGCTATGCGACGCAAAGTTCATCAAGCGAATGGTCATAAGTTTATGGCTACCTTCCTGAGGCAACCAACTTTCTGTTCTCACTGCCGTGAATTCATATGGTATGTATTTTAACAAAAGTATATTGATAACATTGCTTAGATTCTAATTCACAAGCATATTTTAACACTAATTCAAAACATTTACTAATTTCAATCATTTTATAATATGAAGTGTTATGTACTTAATTTGGTGTGTATATTTTAAAAGGTGATCAGTTAAATTAAATTAGTTTGACCTAGCTCGCATTGATATAATAGACTTATGCACACTAAATTAATATGGGATTTTGGTTCTTTGGATAATTTAAAAGTCTTGAAGTTGCATGCCTGGGTTTTTGGTTTTTTAGAATATACTGCAACATCATTAAGAAGATATTATTAGGAAAATGGCTTTTCGAAGTATATATTTTGTACAATATACATATATCTTCTTAATAATTAAGCTAGTTTGACAATACAGATATATAAGAAATAATTTTTAGTTAGTTTACCAGCACATAATATTTGCAGCAGGGAAGTGAATATTTAACACCTTAGATATATTGACTTTTAAGCTTTCAAACACTCTTTCCTTTCTTGTATCTTTACAGTAATGTTACATAATATTCTATGTATTTCATTGGAATAGATTATTCAACTAAGAAATAGGCTGCATGCATTGGTTTTGCAAGCATATACTATATCTACTGTTTGGTAATATTTCTTATGAATTAACATGTTATGATGTCTGTAGACAAAAGTTCTCTAATATAATAATAAATTATTTTTAAGAAAGTACTAGAAACATCTAAGACAGAAATAAAAATTGAATAGTAATCTTACCTAATCACTTTTAAAAGACTAGCATAAACATCTAATTATGGTTTATGGCCCAAGAAAGCATACGTATGTGTTTTATGAGGGTATACAAGGAGATGATGTGATGTGTTTTGTCTGTTGTATTTCAGGGGCTTGGGCAAGCAGGGCTATCAGTGTCAAGGTGAGAAGACACATACACGTTATTAACAAATATTATAATTATATATTTGCTTGCTCTACCTTTGTGTGAATATATGTTTATCTAGGTGTGTGTATGTGTACTTAGTTCTTTATAAAAAATCAAAGCATTTAGGAATAAAAATTCATAATCCAGTTTGAAAACTTTGAAGTTTTTAATGTTTAATTTAGCCCATGGTTCAATATCTGATGCTATGCTTTCTTTAATGAAATGGAAAATAAAACTTAATGTCCATAATACATCAATGGAGTTTTTATTGCAAATTATATTAGCTGTGATTTAATATAGTTATAAGTGGGGATATATTTCATTGCATGTTTCTAAGTATATTGTAACAAATCATCAGGAGGTTCTAATGGTTTCATTTTACCACATCCTTAGAGTTTATATTCTGTCTTCAATGTTCAAGCTTATATTGTTTCCATGGCAAGACTATCACAACATCCACCAAATTTTATTTATGCTTGTCATTTCAAATCAGTGCGTCTAATCACGCATGCAGCCAGCTTGGGTCATGCTATGCTAAAAGTTATTTGTATCAAAAAATGTAAGCATTCAATGAGATTTTATTATGTTTCAGTCTGTACATGTGTAGTTCACAAAAGATGTCACAAGTTGGTTATCACAAAATGCCCAGGCATGAGAGATGAGGTGAGTGTGTCTTACTGTAGAGTATTATCTTTATATTATTATATATTATATTATATATTATTTTTAGTATTATTTTTAATATCATATGTATTTTGTAAATATCAAGAAACTGAATTTTTTAAACTAATCTTTAAATGATATTGTCTTTCAGTCAAATCAAGATACAGAAAGTCCACGTTTCAGTATAGATATGCCACACCGTTTTGTTGTTCACAACTACAAGAGATTTACGTTTTGTGACCACTGTGGCTCACTGTTGTATGGTTTATTTAGACAAGGTTTACAGTGTGAAGGTAAATATATAATAGAATAGATTTATTATACATAAAATGATTTACATGAATATGTAATACTTGAATCTGATGTCTGTTTATACAGCTTGTAATATAAATGTTCATAAGAGGTGCCAGAAAAATGTAGCAAATAATTGTGGCATTAACACTAAGGCTATGGCTGAGATTTTAAGTACAATGAATATATCACCAGACAAACAAATAAAAACTCCAAAGATTAATTATAGAACAACAACTTGTCAGTCTGGTCAAACACCCACAACAGTAACAGTCACAGACACATTACCAACGGATAATTCACAAACAATTCAAAAAACGGAAGAAACATCTGTTATCGCTACTGAAAATGCAGTACCTGCTAGTGAGAATGAAGTTAGGAAATTTGGTATCGAGGACTTTAATTTCATAAAAGTTCTTGGTAAAGGTAGTTTCGGGAAGGTGATGCTAGTAGAACGAAAAACTAATCCCGATGAAGTTTACGCTGTAAAAATTTTAAGAAAAGATGTGATTATACAAGACGACGATGTGGATTGCACAATGACGGAAAAGAGGATTTTAACACTGGCAGCGAGACATCCTTTCCTTACAGCTATTCACAGTTGTTTTCAAACAAATGACCGATTATTTTTTGTTATGGAATATGTGAATGGAGGTCAGGATTAATTGAAATATAATTATAAATAAAACGTATAGAAAAATATTCTTTACTATCTGAATATAAAAAATATTTTGCTTCTTTCAGGTGATTTAATGTTCCATATTCAAAGGGCTCGAAAATTTGACGAAGCAAGAGCACGCTTCTATGCGGCAGAAGTTACGCTTGCATTACAATTTCTTCACAAGCATCATATTATTTATCGAGATCTCAAGTTAGACAATATAATACTCGACCAAGAAGGTCATTGTAAATTAGCAGATTTTGGAATGTGCAAGGAGGGTATTATCGAAGGGAAGACTGTTACAACAACATTTTGTGGCACACCCGATTATATCGCACCTGAAATTCTTCAAGAATTGCATTATGGTGCTAGCGTTGATTGGTGGGCACTTGGTGTTTTAATGTACGAAATGATGGCTGGTCAACCGCCTTTTGAAGCAGATAATGAAGATGATTTATTCGAATCAATTCTACGAGACGATGTGCTTTACCCTATCTGGATCTCAAAAGAGGCAGTTTCTATTTTAAAAGGATTTATGACAAAAAATCCAGCTAAGAGACTAGGTTGTGTGGCTGCTAATGGTGGTGAGAACGCTATAAAAGTTCACCCATTTTTCCAAGAAATAGATTGGGAAGCACTCGAAGCGCGTAAAGTGAAACCACCAATTAGGCCAAAAACTGTAAGTTCATATTGAATTTTAATAATATGTTAAAGTAATTGAAAAATATTTCACGATAATTGCGTGTTTCAGAAAAGCAAAAAGGACGTAATGAACTTCGATACGGAGTTTACAAAAGAAGATCCAGTGTTGACGCCAGAAGATCCAGACGAAGTGAGCTATATAAATCAAGAAGAATTCCAAGGTTTCTCCTTCGTCAACAAAGACTTCAACCCTGCTAGGTTTGGGGCGCAATAAGAAGTAAGAACACAAGCAAATGAAGAGGGTTCAATGTTAATATCATCTTAAACGCTTCTTGCTTGGAAAATTGGCGAGCATGCCAATCTGCAAAGCTGAACATCGGCGTTTTGAAGCTGCTCGGGGTCTCCTTTGTATTTTATCTCCACCGGGGATAATTTTACGTATCATCGGAAGCAACGTTCAAGCTGTACAAAAAAGTGGTGGAGATCATCAGGAATTTGGGAAATCAGCTAGAAACTTCGGTCTGTTTCACGTACAAAAAAAAGTGGTAATTTTCGCAGAGAATTTCATTGCTAACAAGGAAGCGTGGCCTCAGTTCGAAAAAAAGAAATGCGTTTGGATCCAAGTCTCTTAAAGTTGGACAAAATTCTTGATTTCCTTTGTTTTCTTGAAACAAAGACAAATGTGATTGAGATGAAACATCAGTAAGAGATTTCATTTGTAACATTGATAAGCAGAAAGATCACGTGCTTTGGAAATTAAGTATCGGTTAAGAAACTTAGTACAAAAAATACAAAGCAGAAAGAGAAGGTCATTTTCGATGGCATGATGGTAAAGGTCGCTGGGCGATCTATCATTTTTCTGTTGATATTGATATTCTCGAGGAAGATTCGAATTAAATACCGAACTTTTCAGTAATCTCTTAACCGTATATTTCGTTTCCTCTTAGAGTTTCTTTCGTAGAATGTCTCTCTGGAACTACAAAGTTTTCCATCAATGACAAAAAAAGAGTACTCGCGCAGGAAAAACCACGAGTCTGCAGGATATGAAACTCATCGACATGTCAATTTTGCATTGAAATTCAGTTCCATTAAGGTATACAAAATTTTACCTGATTTACAGATTCCTAGTTAACCATATATAAAGACTTGGCACTTATTACGCATTTTTTTTAGCGCTTACGTACTTACGGACTTAATTTTCATTGCAATTCACGAGAATTATTTTTTACTACGGCAAGAATACCGACAAAAACAGGACGATCGAATTATTGTGATTATTGCTTAGTAAGTCGAGTTTTTAGGTCTTAGCGTAGTGTATCAAATCACTAGTGATCAAGACTGAAACAGAAGCTGGGCTTAACTTTTAGGTAAGCACCGGCTGCAGGCGTAATTATAATTGCCGAGTCTATAAAAACCTGTGCATACATAATAGCATCATATAAAGTAACCACATAGAGAATCGAGAAGTTATGTTCCGGTTCGAATCGAGATCTCGTGTCTTCGAACGGTCTAAACTTTTCGTCGAGCAGAGGAGCATCTCGCAGCGCTTCTCCGATAGGATTTAAATGATAAACAAAATAATAATAAAATAATCATACAACACTAAAAGAAATCATGCTCGCGTGGTGAAGATCGAGCAGGATACGATCTGACCAGGTGGACATACCAATTTCATACTTAACATAGAATTTTAAACGATCATAGACGGATTCCACTGGTGGTTGTCCCGTCAAAGCTAACACAAAATGATAAATATATCTTACGTATAAATACGTATAAATACGTATAAATTTAACTTATTTTAACATACGCCTAAAATTGTAATGAACAAAAAAGGTCTCGCTATCAGAAACACCGGTGAACATATAAAAGCGATGGTCTCTGGTGAAATTCTCTGGTGTTGCTGTGTGTGTCGAGTCTTTCACAAAGTGTTATAGACAGAGCATATATACATACATATGTATATGCTTTGTAAAGTTACCGCTAAGCGAATTAAGAAAATTGTAAGGAAGTCCACCTAGCGATGTCGATGCACTTTCCGGAAACTTGTTGTCTCTAGTTAGGTGTCTTTAAAAGCTTGAAGCAACAACTCGTGTACTTAAATTAGAAAAAGCTGCAAGCTCCTTAGTGTTAAGTGATGAAATAGTCGAGAGCCTTATCCGTACCATAAGAACGTTGAAATGCGTAAAAAAAAAAGAAAGGGAAGAAAGAAACCAGTGAATGTTATATCGAGTTAAGTATCGTTGTCGGTCCTAACGGCTAATAAGGATAAATTAATTCGAGATACATAAATGAGAGACAAATTTCTCGTGTTTTAACAAGTGAACAGAAAATACTCTAATATTTGGGGCACGTAGTCCACCGTTTTGTGCCGTCGAGTTTATACCAAAGATTTCGTTCAGACTTTCCGTAGAAACCTCGCAGAACGAATTAACGAGGGTAAGATCGCGAATGAATCACAATCTCATATCGATCCGACTTCAATCTTTGGTGTAAACTTCAATCGTCGTTGATAGTTTTAATGAGAAAAGTTTAATTGATAAATAGTAACGATAGACCGTAACAATTAGTCGATAATATGTTTTAGTGATTATAAATTCAGAAAAAAGGACAACTGCGGTGAAATCGTGCAGTAGTGCAGAGCAAAACTAAAAAAAAAGAAAAACAGAAAAAAATATTTTAGCGTACTGTCTAACAATGAGCCACTGGATAACAGACAGCCCCCAGATTCTATTCAAATGGCTTATTGTATGACCAGAAACGCGTTACTCAGTGTCGTGATCATTGTCGTCGTGTCATACTCGTACATTTTTATGGACTCCGTAGATATTTAGGTTCATTTAAAAACAAAAAATGTCATAAAAAAATTCATTGGTAGAGTACCTTTAAATCACGTGCTGCCCTCTACGTGCTTCGATTTTGTACAGAACTTGAAGTTCGAGAGCCGCGGCACCGACACAATCGAATTGTGAACAAAATGATGTTCTAAGTTACGGCACCTGTCGTGTACTCAACGCACGATCTTAGAAATTAACGATGTACGAGATGAATATTACCATTTCAAGGAGAAATCACCTATCGTAAGATATATACACGTACGACGTCGCTTTTATGAAAGCAACGTTGTACTCGCAGCCATTGACACGAAATAATGATCGTTCGCATGTAAATGTAGCTGATCGTATCTTTTTACAGCTTTTGCTTGCATAGCAATAATTATTGACCAGTGAATATAGTATCCTATTGATGTATCGACCGATGAATCGATAATGTTCTCCGTGTACTAAATTCAGAGTGCTATATCCTTGTCGTTGGCAAACTGTCATAAAAATTAAATTTATTATTTATTATACATAATATCAATTTCTTAGAATTTAATTCTTAGTTTTTAAATATGTATTAAATTTCATAAATGATCCAATAGGAATTTCTATTGTTTCTAAGAAAGGGAATTGTGTTTAAGATAACTTAAAAAAAACTGTCCGATTGACAAGGATCTGTACTTGATTCATCTGCGTTCGTGCACTTATCGTAAATCTAGTCAGAACGAGAATATCGAGAAAAGGTGTCTGGCTCGATGTATCGAGCTACGGAAAAGGATATGTTTAAATTCAAAAGAGACGAGTTAGTCCGGCCTACGCTTAAAAAAAAGACGGTTTCGTGCGTTATTCGAACAAAAAATTACTGCTATACCATGTACCTATTGTTACGTGTAGAGTTACCGCGTAACAAATATCCGTACGTCTAAAAAAAGAAAACAAAAAAAAGAAAGAAAACAAACACTGTATCGTCTAGGCGTAGTAAAGCGAGTTTCTTTTTAGTCTTATGTCCGGTACATTAGAAAGAAGATTTTCAGCACTCCGCGTCGTATTATCGATAGTCATATCGCGATATATCTCTTTCGGTTGTATATATCGTTTTTGTCAGAACGATAGATTCTCGATGGTCGTTGAAAATGGCGCGAATCAGACGAGAGAATGCAACGATTGCCGTCCTAAACACATCGATACGTCGAGCGGGGTTAATCGATTATCCAAAGGTTTCTTTCGACTTTAATTGCATAGAAAGTAAGCCATTGGTGATTTATAAGTACGTCACAATCGTACACCGGTGTACGATTACACCGTACCATAAAATGTTACGAATTCTGATCCGTCGAGATTTAAATGAAAAAGTAATATTCGTTGAAAGACTTATCGAATAATCAAAGTTGAAATCTCATTCATTGTGTGGGAAGAAAGAATATGTTTGAAAGAAAAAACAAATTATCGAAACGTACTGTTTATACTGTTGTTATTGTTGCAACGATCATCGAGCTGACAAAGATGTTAATCTCTTTTTTTTTAAGTTAAACATTGTATGTTTTTTTTTTGGTTAAAGAGAACGTGTGGCGTTTCATTTATTCTAATGTTACATCGTTTTACAGTATTTATGTTTTTCAATATCATACAAGTATTCTTGAGATATCGTACACGACCAGGCCACGTTAATAGCTGAATGTTAAGGTTGCTAGCTAATTAGCGAAAAGTAAATATATATTTTTTTAGTTTCTCGTTAAGTACATCAATTTTTTCAGACATTTTTTTATCGGAACCTTTCGTCCTTAGGTTTTATCTTTTTTTTTGTATTTACAGCGATCGAATCGGAATAACTTTTTTTCTACTTAATTTCTACACTTTATATGGTCCTTGTTTTAGTGCGCATGCGTAAGCTTTTCTAATGATTGTGCTTCGCAAGATCTAGCTTATATCGTATAACGAATTGTTTATATTTTTTATCGTCATGTAACAGAGGAGAGAAAAAGCCAGAGTATCTTTACGTGTGTGTAAATTACAGAGTTTAACGATTCACGTTGCACAATTTAACGGGTATGTAACTATTAAGATTATAATTTCCGTTGTATATATATTTCTTTCGATTATCGAAGAGAACTATCGTCATCGATTCCATGGCGTATAAGCAATGTATTTTAAAATCGGCTGGGCTAAAAAAACAAAGAAAGGGGAGTGAAATAAGCAAAAATCAGAGTACATAAAAGAACAAAAAAAAAAGAAAGAATATAATGGTAAATATGTATAAGTATATACATACTTATATATATATATAGTAAAAAATTTACAGTAGCATGTTGCAGACGATAGTACTCTTGTCAGGCGCCGACACTCTAACCTAACCCCATAAACAATTTTTGCCGTGAGATTTTTGTAACCGCTAGTCAATCGTATTAAAATAGGGAAAAAGGGATATTGGGGGGGAGAAAAAAAAAGAAAAAGTTATGCGTTATCGATGAAACGTTCCACTCGCTTCGTTTTAATACTGTATGCGTACGCACGTGACCGTACACCGGATATCACGTGCCGTATATTCGTTAAAAAAACGAGGAAAGACGTTAATTTATCGATGTATACGCGAGATTATAAGCCAACAGGAGGTAAAACCGCGTATTTTTTTGACGTGTCAAGTTAACATACGTAAAGAGCGAATGAAGTGATATATACATATATATATATATAAATTATAAATATATATATTATATGTTGCATAAATTAAGATGATAAAAGAAAACTAAAATATTGTTGCAATATAGAGCGCTAAGTAGGGTCACACGTAACTATCAACTGTGGTACCCCTTTCCTTTTTAGGATGTAATTTACAGAAATTATATATATATATTATATATATATTTATTATTATATATATATAATTATATATATATATATAAAAAGCATACATACCCGCATATATATATGTGTGTGTGTGTATGTATACGAACAAAAAAAGAATAGAAATGTATATATTTATAAATATATATACGTACTACATAAATAGGAAGTATCATATTAGGAATACGTCATATTCTTTATGTTCCTTCAGACCTATGTTAAAATCCGTCATTTTTCTTTCTGTTTCAACGATCTTGGTTTGCTTTTCTGTTCATGGGAACGCGGGATGGTTGCTGCAACGATGACGACCTTCTAGAAATCGCGGAAGGAAAAAAAAAAGAAGTTACAAAAAAGAAAATAATAAAAAAAGGGACCAACGTCGCTGAAAACGAACGAACATCGTGGATTTTATCCTGGGTCTGAAAGATATCGGGAATGCCATACAAAAATGAACAAAACGAATAAAAAAAAATATGAAAGAAAGCATCTGCAAAAAAAAAGATGATACCAAGATCATAAACTCTGTAATGTCGTAAACTAAATATCGTCTGTGCACAGTGTTGGGTAAAGATATTCTAAAAATGGAATGACAGCAAGATACTTCGTGAAAGCCTTTTGAAACTCGCGATCAATCACCGGCTCCTCTTTCGTGTGTGTTAAGCAATCGTCATATCTGATATAACTTTGTAATAATAGTACTATTATTAATAATAGGGCTGTAAAATCGTGTGAATATAACTCTAGGTACGGGACAGAATAGAAATTACGTTGGAGATGCAAACGAAACGGATTCTCTGATTGTACCAAGGGACAGCCGGTAACAGCTGTTATTCGATTAAATCGTGAACGATTAGCAGCGATCGATTCGATTCGATCGAATTCTCAATGCCTCATAAAACTTTACTTTCTACGTGTACATAAGTGTAAGCGTGGAGCTAAGCGTGGAGCTACGTACTCACGTAACATCACATATTTGGAAATGTAATATTCTTAAATTTGACCAAAGGTGTAGGCATTTCAGTTCACACGAAGCAAAATGAAAATGAGAGATGGTCTATGCGTTTGAATTACTTACACTGTTTCATCGAACACACGAGGAACATATTCGACAGTGTGAAGGCCCGTTTTTAGATAAATTCGTTAACCCCCGGTGGCACAAAAGATCCGTTTTCACAAACGAACGAGCAATCAGCCGAAGGCTGCAGATAAATTTACTTCCTCAAAAGATACATACATAATCGAGAGAGTTTTATCCTCTGACGAAAGTAGCCGTCCGTATGATTGGAAAGCAAAAAAAAAAAAAAAAGAAGAAAAAGTGAAAAAGAGGAAGAAACGAGCGAAGGCAGGATGGAGAATTTCGATGCGCGAAGGAGTAGCAATCGCTGTGTTACAATTGTATTAAAACAAATGTGTCGTTGAATTTTCATAGCGAGCGTACCTACGTATATGTATATGTTGACCGTATCATTGTCGTTAACGATCGTAGAATTTATGAAAGCTCTCTGAGTGTGTCCTTTCGTTACCTGAATCGCCATCCTTCCTTTTCACACGACTTTCATACGTCGCGCCGACCATCAAAACTCTCTCTTTCCCCCGTTTTCGATATTTACAATCAAAAACTCTCCTTTTTTACTTCTTTTTTCATTTTTGAAATATTTTGCTCACTTCTCTTCAGAATATATTGTATGTCATTGTAAAGCTAAGCGTTCGTGCGTGCGTGCGATATGTACATAAATGTAACGATACACATGCGCATACATTATAGTGAAACGAATTGTATTCGTGCACAATGATGCATCGTACATGCGACACTGTGCGAGAAGAAGCGATTTCTTTTAGAGAATTTATCATCAAACATTTTCTGTTGTTTGACTATTGTAAAAGTAGATTTACTTTCTAGTGAGAGATAGATTTTTCCATGAAATGACTATTAAGTTTGAATTTTCTGTAGGCAGAAGGAAAAAAGATACGAATACAAAAGATGCATTGCTTCTTTTTGTACAGTGTTTTACATGAGCTAATGTGTGTTTCGTTGAAACTGGAATAGCGACACTATTTTCCTTCCGACTCGAATTGAATCTTGTATTTTACTTTATTCCCGAATCGCGCACAAATGCAAGAAATGATGCGTTAGATCGACCAACGCCCAATGTGATGCACACAAGCTGTTTAAACGTACAATTAGGGAACAAACATTTATTTTTTTATATGTACCCCAGCTGGTCGTTCGTCGGACATTTTACGCGCGTGATTGAGGATTGAGCATCTCGTATAGGTCAAACATTATTTCGCGTGTTGTATCTCCTCGCACAAAAAAAATTTATATATCAGCGTCTGTAAGTTTTCCTGTTAGAGTCTATAGAATTCCGGAATGTACACAAATTCAAACCCAAAAAGTTACGTTTTACAATAATGTTATTAAGAATAGAAAGTCTAATTAATACGTTGCAATTAACACCTTGTGAACTAACAACACACGTTGCTCTTGTTATTACAAATATTATCGACATCCAACCATTCTACCATTTATCATTACAAAGTAATATTAATTTTTATCATAAAGAGAAGTATCATTTAAGGAATTAAAAAAGGGTTTAAAAAAGAACAGCAAAAATGAACGCGTGATAGTGCACAAAGTGTTAAGCGTTTTGATTGTCAGCATCGATGCTTCAGAGCGAAAAATCATTGTTATTTTGATTAGAACCGCAATCGATCTATCTAATCGAAATATACGAACACGAAAAAGATTAAAACAAAAGAAGGTAAGAAAACGCCAAGTCTCCGAGACGTTGACGACTCATCGAGAATCGAAGTTTTACACGTCCAGTCGCAGTTTCTTTCTAATGAGATTTATTGCGTTGTTGACCGTGCTAATTCTATCTGACTTAAGCCTATTTCCATGTTGAAGACACACCAGTGATTGTTGCCGAGCTGAAAAGTCCGAAGTCTAATTTATAAATGTGATAGAAAAGCGTGCGAGCAGGGAATTCGCGAAATCGGCTTTGGAAACAGTTCTCTAATCAAATTATAAATTAATTTCACCCGGAAGTATGTATCGTCTTTATGAGTTGCAAAGTGGATTGAGATTTATGAATCTTTTTATCTTTTGATAAATAACTTTTTTACGCGTATATTGAGAATTGTTCTTCCTTATCGATAGAGCATCTTACATATCCGCTTTGTAATTACATATATGGTAAAGTTCATTGTACAAATATTTGTTACTCGTTTTATGGTTGTCTTTTCGTCGACAAGTTTGTTAAACGGATCGTTCATCGATCGTTTGAACATACGATACAGAAGAGTCGAATAGCGGAACCGAGAAATACTTGGCAAGCATACATCCTGCTGTTTAAAAGCTCGTTAAAAGGAAGTTCCCTGTTCATGCGCGGACAGAGCTGTATTAGCGATCGTTATAAATGAGCATTATTTATTTCTCGATTGTATTTATATATCGTTAATCGTAGTGAGTCTTAATAGTAATTTACGGAAGTGTTATTATCTGGTGCTGAATATTAATATATATCTGTCGATGTATTGGTGACTCGAATCGAGATATCGTTAAGGAATTACGATCGAAACAAGGAGGAATTAGAATATTTGCGTTAGTTGTTAAGTAAATAATTTTTGAAAAATAATTTTACTTAACTCGGTAATACAACGATTTCACTATATGAGTTACTTGTTACTCGTTGCTTGGGGAGTGGTAATTTCGTGTGCAAAAATTGCTACTGCTGATTAGCGTAATCAAGTTAGCTCGATTTCGATCGTATTACCGTGGTAATTAAAGATATTTCATTTATTGATCGATTATCTTTTCGATATTACAAATGATCCTTACGGTTCGCTGTATAAAAGAAAAAAAGAAAGAAAGAAAGAAGGAAACTCGGTGTAGTCGCTACCGTAAGAATTCTCCTTGTTCGTATAACGATACTTAACATTTTCGATCGATTCTTGATTCGATCTAGAAATACATCGGGCGTTATACGCGATTATTACTCCGTAGCTGATGATTCGTTATGTGCGTATTGTAAATTCGAACGATTGTGAATGTATTTTACTTGCGTTTGCACGAGTCCTACGCTATTTCCCTCGGTTTTAGTTTTCTTTTCTATTTCTTTACCGAAGCATTCC